AGGAAGAGCCAGGCTGGAGCAGGATTCAAGTAAAGACATATCAGGAATAACTCTCCCGTTCTACTGCTTAATCCTGCTATTTTATAATCTTCCCAAACCCTGGGTATCCACACGGCACAGAAGGGGTTTCTTTGTGAGAATCATGTCTTGATTATCAAGCCCAGCAGCCTCCCTGTGTTCTGCCTCCTGAGCCCATGCCAAGGGTCCAACTGTCCGTGCCCAAACCTGCTGCACGCGGTGCTGAGGGGAAGGATTCCATGTGTTCCCAACAGCAAGCTCTGCATCCATTGGGGAGATTTTTAGAAGCAAAACAAAACACAGGAAGCTCAGAATAAAAATCCAAAGGGATTCCAAGACGTAAAAAAAGAGGTTTTGCTTTAAGAGTGGTGAATTTGAAAACTAATGTTGCTGCTGCTCTTTGCTCAGGGTTGGCTTTCCCCCTTGCCAACAAACCCCTGAGTGCACAACCAACCCAAGCACCATGGAACAAACACATGTTTTCAATTTTGTGTTTAATTTTGGGGTTTGCTCAACTGCAAGTCAAAAATAACCTTTTGGGCATCTTTGCAAGCCCAGGATCATGTCAACACAGCCATTTCCAAGCACATAAAGCACTGTTCACATTAGGCTTTGCTAATAGAACTAATCCAGCAAGTTTTCCTATCATGGGCTCATCTTGCCGTGGCAAGTAAGGTTTATACAGGTTCCCTAAATGGGTGAAAGCTCTCTCAGCAAAACTACACCTCTGCTGACACAACAGCTTTTATAATCTGACTTTTGCTGGCTTAGCTATATTGATAAAAAATGAACAAACCAAACCAAGCACTCACCCTTACCCATGCAGATAAGCTGACAAAAACTTGCCACTGAATAACTGGCCCAGTAATTATGGTCCTGGCTGAGGATGGGGGAGAAACAGGTTCAAATCCCTGCTCTGTCTGATCCAAACCTGCTCTTTTTTGGGTTCCAGATCCAAACCACTTAAGCAGAACATGGGAATATCACCATCAGCTTTTTCTAGGCAGATACTCAAGGTCGGCAGCCTAACTACCCCATTTCTGATGAGAAACAGTCCTGTTTCAACTTATCACTGAAATAAAAACAATTTTGCCCAATAAATCATCATGTTTTGCTAAGAGATAATTCAGCTGGAAAAAAAAAAAGTGTTCCAACCAGATTTAATTCTCATGCTAAAAATGCAGCCAGAGTCTGCAAACACATGCAGCTCCTATGCAGTAAAGTTTTGAGGACAATGTAGTTATCTTTGCTGCTTCACAACATGCATGAGCATAAGCCTTACATTGGAATTACTTCATGAAGAACAGCAGCAGAAATCTTCGTAAAAGTGATTTAAAAAAGATAGGAAAAATTGTTGTCCGGGAGAATAGAAAACAGAGGTTACAATTCCACTGCTGATTTCAAGCAGAGGGAGCTATTGTACAGGGAGAGAGGAGCAGGATAAGCTGCACAGGGAGAGAACTAAGCCAGCAACACCAGCAGTGCTGTAAAACCTGAGAGTTTGTTAGCAGTGACTGAATCATGACACAATTGCCAAGAGAAATGCAACAAAAGCTGATCAAGAAGACACAGACCTACTAAATTTCAAGGTATAATCATGTATACATATTCACATTAATTTAATTCTATTCCAGCTGTGGATTGCACTGTGCTTTCCTTACCAAAACGAAAGGAACACTGTTTTTTTGAAGCCTTGCCTTATGATTTACACTCGACCCCAAACACACCCTAAAGAACAATACCTGCCAAAACAAGACAGCAACCACCAAATTCACACTACATCTTCTAAACGGGGAGTGAAACTGGACTGTGTGGGTTGTTGGCTTGTTTTTCAAAGAAGGCAGTGCTAGCAGCAGGCTGAAAAAAATTCTTACCTTCTATACTAACTGAAAAAGGCATAGTTAGTATATGGTTAGTGGAGTTAAAAGGGAAGTTCACTCCCACAGTGGGACTCTGGGGCTGTCTCCACGTTAACAGACCAGCTAGAGCCATTCCAAGTTACTAAACTGCAATACCTACCCTGAGGCTCCAGATTCGTTTCACTTGGCTCACATTAAGCCAGATAATAGTGATTTTTAGTCACTAAAAGTCAAGACCAGATTTCAGTCTCTGCTCCAAAGTGAAAGGCTCATTTACTTGGATGGAGTTTACAGGCTGGGAAGAAATTTCCCAAATCCAAAGCTGAGATGTTGTTGTAATGGAACTGGGCTAGAATACAGAAGGGACTCAACTTCAGTGGTTCAAGAAATGATTACATGCCTTTGCATTAGAGCAGAGGGAGCCCCATGCAACTTGGTCCCCCTTAAAATGGGCATGAATCACTAAGGTTGGAAAAGACCTCCAAGATCATCATGAACTGAACTTAGTACATTTAAAGAGGAACTTTTACCTTTACTGAAGGATTCCTTTGTGGGAATAAACCATTTAGAAAAAACAAGGAAAGGAATCACTCTGCAAAGTAAGGCTAAGAGGAGACAAACCCCCTTAGCTCACAAGCACTGACACAAACTCCTTTTTAAAGCAAGAACTACATGTAAAAAGTTGGCCACTTGCATAAACAGTGGAAGCTGCCCCCTGCCATGCAGCAGCAGCAGCCCAGGACGTTGGCCTCCAGGTAACCCTTTGAGGAACTCGTATGTTGTAGATGGTGTCTTTTCCTTTGTGCCCGAGCCAGCCACAGAGTATATGAACTTGTTTAAAATAGTCACAATTTATTCATACTTAGCACACCATATATTTAACTATGTTGAACCATAGGTTTTCCCTTCCCCCCCTACTGCTCCTCATCAAAATCCACAAATGTTTCCTGGAGTCCAGGTGTCAAATTTTTCCTCTCATTTTCAGAGCCTCATTTGTTCTGGATTCATTTAGCAGAGGAGAGTCAAGCAGGGGCCACTGCAGTTGCTGCCTCTGGGATCCCTGGCTTTGGAGCAGTATGAAGCCTCTTAAAAACCTGAGCTCTGCTGAAATGTTAAGAGTCCCAGGAGCAGTGAGTTCAGAGAGTCCTACATGCAATGCTGGAGCAGGCACTTTATTGTGGCTTCGAGTGATTTGATTGCCATGGGCACCACCAATTCATGCTCAACTATTGGAGGGCCTTAGGAAGCAACTCTGGAAACAGAACCACTGCAGCTTACCTCTGCCCATCACACTGGAAAATTAAATGATAAACCAGAGCGAGTCTTTCCTTGTCCTTTCCAAAACGTGAGGTGTGCAGCAGCCAAGAGAGGGCACTCCAGGCCAGCCCAGCTCCACACCACCGCAGGCGTTTCATGCTCTGAGTCCATCCCCATCTGTCCATCCCCAGCAGACCCTCACTAGGCTGAGGACGAGGAGCAGCCCAGCCCAAGCAGCAGCCCGTAGCTATGACTCCATTGGATGGAAGCAGCTACCACGTTTGCCGGGGTTTTGTTTGTGTTTTCCTTTTTTAAAGGCTCATATGAAAATGTAAGACAAAGCTGCGGGTGACTGACATTCCCTGTGCAAAGTCACTCTCACTTAGTTACAGGCTATATTAGTTTTGGCATCACTT